GTTAATTGATTCAAAAGGTTTCACTGCAGAGGACACTTGCCCTTTTTCCTTCATAAAAGGACAACAACAGTAAGGAAGCCAAGGCGAAGCCGGGCTTCCGCGCTAGTTTGAACTAACTTTGAAAAACTCGCGAGAGGAAGCGCAAGGCTTGTGTACGCCCAACTCCCTGACCACTTGAGCTGCGAGGCTCCCATCCGCCGCCGTGAGTTAAACCACACTTGGGTCAAGTTACACGCGCAGCCTACTGCGACGTTTGGAATCCACCAATTCTGGCATAGTCAGATGAATTATTCAAATCTGCCAAGGAACCTGCTAATTCTTGGACGTTTATAGGATGGGTGGGTCCCCAACAGTCACAGGGATCGTTGGAGATCACTCCCTCCTCCTCCAGCGCACTGACTCGATAACCTAACTAAAAGACAGCAGTACAAGGCACAATCGTTTAAGGAAGAAGACTTGTCGAGCACCGGATCAAATATTCGACAAGTCTTCTACCCTATCCATGCAAACACCTGGAACGCCAACGTTTGCCTTCATTCGGGAACAATTATTTTATGGCAGAACTGGCAGAATCGACTGTCTTTATGAGGTCTGCACAGTGAGCCCCAAAGCGGAAAATGGCAATTATGCACCGCAACCCAATTCACGAATGCATGCTAGTGCCTTGTCAGCCGACCGGAGGCCATACGATACGCCGCTTGCTCATGCAACTGAAGGATCGGCTACCAGCCGTCAAGAGGTAGTTGTCGCGTCAACTGTCTAGACTGTCTGGCCAACTATCGGAGCATGGCAGAAAAGGGGCTAGTAACACGCATGCACGCAAACGCCTTGGTTGTAAAACGGGAAACGCACGTGAGCACATGCAAAGTCTAGGAAATAAGAATCGATTCGGAGTTGGCAGTGAACCAGTTCGCGACTGAGCGAAAAGCCAACTGACGAGATAACGGAAGTCTATCAATCGGACGCCAACTCGGTTAACCGTAGGATCGATTTAGCAGCGTCATTAGAGGCTGTCAGACACTACTTGTGCATGGGAAGAGAACCAATAAAAAAAGAGTAATTACAGAACCTATCGGAAGTAGATAAAAAACATAGTTAAACCATGCATTCCCCATGCATCGGTCTCCTATGATGCACCAGAGTAAGAGTCAGATGATAAAATCCTCTTACCCAGAGACTGTCTTACCTTCTTCCATCAAATCACTTAGGGTGAATATTTTCGTCCCATATCCGAATATGCATGTATGTCGAGTTCACCATCCCTCGATTAAGACCAAACAGAAGAGGAGGCGAGTCTACGCAATGTACTCGGGTCTCGCAAACTTCCACATTTACATCACCAAGGTAGTAGAGATTACTGCTCCTGCTGGTTTTCATTTATTAAATTTTGTCGTCTGCCTCGTATCGCTACTGTACTCAGCGCACGAACGGCAACCTGTCCGTTTGCTAGTGACTAGCTTTGACCACTCCGTGGTCGACCACCGACAGGTTTGTGTGATCTTTGCGGTCGTCAGAGTGGAGTGCTGTTTGAGCTCCCTATCGTCACACAATCTAATGATTGGTCGTTGCTGCTGGTGTCAACTGCTTTCAGCCCCGTGGGCAGGTCGATTAGGCAGTGCGTAATACTGGTTATGCAATAAGATACCTGGGCCTTGAATTTTCAGGCCGACATATACAGTGGAACCTCGGCTAATCCGTTCCGGCACCGAGTTCATCGTGTGAAACACTCATTTTGCGAAACGTAGGCCATCAAACTGCATCTTTTCACTGAATCTCTGCAGGCGACCGAGGACCGACGCCCTAGGAGCAAGACTCAACGCACTAACGGCCCGTTAACTGAGCGGAAGATCGTCAATCGAACCGCGTTTTTGTTAGTGGCTCACTCTTTACCTGAAATGCTCGTAGATGGAGCTGCTCATCATCCGAGGCTCGATTGTGTATGCTGGCAAAAATAAATTACAGATAAAGACAGGGGAGATTGGAATGGCTAATTGTGGCTTATAGCCGTCATCAGCTAGGCATACCCAACCCTAGGTGTTGCCATACTCGAGGCACAATCAGACATTGTATGCATTTTAAACCAATCTGATGAAAAAATGAAAAGGTTAGTGGGAAAAAAACGAGTTGTACTCGTGAATTTCCGACCTGGTGACATCAACCTGTCGCCAGACGGAAGTAAAACAAGAGGGAGAATTAGATGGTCACACTGGACCAGAACAGATAGACAGACAGACAGACAGACCAGAAGCGGTACTCACTGTGTATCTTCTGGAGACTTCTCCACAATAGCCAGCACTCTCCGTTTTACCATCCGTTTCTCCAAATCAATAGTACGCCGGACACGGCGATGCTCCCGGGTGACCCCGTTTAGCAGACGAATGGTTCTGTCAATGGTGCTCAGGAAGAACATGTGACAAATGAGGCAACTGGCCTTGAACCGACTCCAGAAGCTTTCCTTTTCGGCTGCTATAACAGTAAAGGCAGGCGTACAGTCCACCAATGTGTCTGGCAGCAATAAGTAGTTGAACAGGATATTATGGGGACGACTTACCACGACTAGGCTTGCGTACGTCCGTTTGATGTACCACGATCTCCTCAACAACGCTAGCGTGACGACTGGGGACCATTGCGTCAGAAGCTTGATGGTGCAGAAGGGGGCGGAGCTCAATGCCCGGGTCCTGGAGAGGATATAGGCGACCGCATAAACAAGGTGATAATGCATGCAGGTAAACTAGGGTACACAGTTCGGGCGCAAACTCATTCATTTGCGAAAGACTGATAATCACTCGCAGACCGGCATTACAGAGGATGGCAGTACTGACTATCGTAAGCCCAATCTCAAGAAATTTAAGCCACGTCGGGATGCCGACTTCTTAATGAGCTTTCTTCTGACCGCTTACAAAAAGTATATTCTGTACAATATGACTCCTCAAGTCGTATACATTTAAGTCGCTGTTTTTCACTTCTTTCTTGAACTCAATTGGCAGAAAATAAGGCCTTCTTTAAATCTCATACTTGAAGGGAGGGTATATTTCGGTATTAAAAAGCTCCTAGATTGCCGAATAACTTTGAAACCCACCGGCCGCTACACTTGAATTTAAGGATTCCAAACTGAATGCCGTACACTTTTCCCTAGGGTGTGCGGAAGAGGTCATATAGTTCTCGCAAAATTTTGCTATAGATGCGGATCGTGATGGATACTTTAAAGAAAACATACGGTGTAGTCAGAATGAACATTTCACAGTCGTAGAAAATCTCATATAAAACTTGAAGAAGGCGTACTTTCCTACAAATTGAGTGCAAGAGGGAATGATCTGGCCATTGTTTTCTATGAAATATATTTCAATTTGCAAGGGCAGTGAAAATCAATGATTAAAACGAATACTATCTAAGCAGCCATTTTTTTACAGTACACACTTTCTGTTAGCGGTCAGAAAGGAGCTCGTTCAAGTTCGCATGCTGACCTAACTGGAATGCCTTGAAATAAGGCCCTCCGATGATCAGTACTACAAGCCTACCCAATGCCGCTTTGCCAGCGATTACCACAGCATTCTGCACGAGTTTGAGGTCGAACTGTATGTATTGATAAACAAAAATACACCTCTGTCTGTACGACCCGTTTGCCGTCAGTGGGCTCGGCATATGCACTCTGATCAAAAGACTCCGCCTTCAGGAGCCTGGGTTTGCCCGTCAATCTACGCTCGCGTAAGCCACTGCTGCGGCTGGGGGTCACGTCTGTGACCTCGCCCACTTGCATTCTGTGCGTAGCAGATCGGGGGAGATCGTTGAGAGGCCTTTCAGTTTTCTGCAAAAAACGAGACCGACAGCACAGTTATGCAGGGAAGCCTGAAGTGTACCTAGAAGGCTCAAGCAAGTAGTTAAAACACACGGTAACAATCTAGTTCCGGGCTCACTGCAGCAAGCGAAACCCCCCCGCCCCCTAGAATTCTATAATACGGGACCGGCGGTAGTGGGGGGGAGTTATACGGATGCGAGCATAACATAGGACATCATATTGAAAAATATAATAATAAAAAGTAGAAAAAAGTAGATAAATGCTATAAAATACCAACACATAGCAACCAACAAACGCGCGATAATTGTAAATGGACAAGCACGTAACCGCGCAACTCTGCCAGCACCAGCCCCGCGTAGCCTCGTCAAAAATTCGGGGTTGGAAGGGGCTACACTGGGCAACAGAATAAGAGTGTACGCATTCATTTGCAAAGCAAATAAAAAGAGAATAGGCTACGGTTGAAAGTTAATTGGAGATAAATATGGTTTGACGAAATAGGCAGAAATATGCAACTCCATTAATTTCGACGATGTAAGACAAAAATATCAGACACTCGGACTTCTTGTAAGGGGTATGAAATGACGCTATGGATGGAAGATGCTTCAAGAAGTGTTGTGAAAACAAACGGATGGATTGCTGTTGCGATGCAGCAAACGCAAAATAAGAAGAGTTCTGAAAACCGGTTCAATTTCTGAAAATAGCCGCTGTGGACTGTACTTGATGGACTTAATGGACGCAGGTAGTCTATTTCTGCAGCAGCTGCATATCGAGTGGGACGTGCAATGGAAAGCAATGTTGACGTAACAACTTCCGAAAATCAAGTACAATAAAGCCTTACATATTAAGTAGTATATATAAATTCATTCACAACTGACTGTCGAGGACGCTTTATTTATGTTCGAATGCCCATAAGTAGTTAAATATTACTAAATATTTCCATGGAGAACATGTACAATGGAATGTAGGGATCCAAGCAGCCATACCGGCTAATCAACACCGGACAGGGGTCATAATTGCCCAAAATCATAATTAGTCATATGCCACTGAAGATATCCGTCGCGGTGCAACATGATATAAGGAAGGACCGTATCGTACCTTTGTGGTGAAACACAGCCAATGCCAAAATAGTAAAACAAAAATGCTTACTATTACTAAATTAGTAGGCAGTTACGTTAACTAAGTGTAGTGAGCCCGAAATGAAATTGCTAGGAAGTACGAAATACGCAGACTTACCATCCGCCTTAGATTCCCCTCGCCCTGATAGGACCTTCTTCGATGTCCAATTTCAGTTTCCCCACCGACCATCATGCTTTGCTGTTGGTAGGCTGCCATGTTTTTGCGGTACTGCCGTACGGTGCTGCGTGCACCATGCTCCAGGGCCTGATTAAGGAGTTGTAGGGGATTCATTCGGGAGGCAGGGGTCTGGGCGGGGTTCGCGTCATCCTCATCATCATCATCGGCGTCAGCCATCATGCCCGCGTCGACCTCCTCGGTCCGATGGAAAAGTCTAAAGTCCTCAGCTCTAGCGGCTGGGGCAAAAG